TCTCCCTCTGAAATTACAGAAAAAAAAACCCTACTATAGAGGTAAGAAAGCTGTGTTTGTTCACCATATTTGTTTGCATGCTATTTCCCCATTCCCTCACCATTTGTCAATTTACATCTTTGGATTGTGAAGCTTTCAAATGAGTCATCTCTTTTCTAGACTTGTACACAGACATACATAACAGACCCCATTCCACTTGGAGTGTTGGGATACTACTATAAATATTTAGTACTATACTACAATGTCATTATCTCTTTCGCCTTTTGTAACAAACTGGGAGCTATCTGCATTATTCTTGTGAATAATATATTCCATTTTCTACTGCATTATTTATTTGAAGTAAAATCCCAGCTAATCAATTAACTGCTTAAAATTTAGGTTTAACCAGTTAACTGATTAAGTGAGCTGCCGCTGCTAGCCCCTCTGTATTGGGGGGACTGGCAGCAGGAGTCAGCAGCTGTGCACATAAGGGGAGAGAGGGGAAGCTTCTGCTCCTAACCCCCTGCCTCCCGCTGGCAGGGGTGCAGTTCCTGACCCCCCTCAGGACTGGTAAAGGGTGATGCTAACTATGTAACCGGTTAACCAGGTACCCATTCACATCTAAATCCCAAGGTTGTGACTTCGAGGCAGGAATGGTCTGTTACTTATTTGCCTAGTGTTTATTATAATAGGGTGCAAATCTATTTTGAACTCCTAAGTGCTATCACAGTAGAAAATACAAAATAACACAGACCAGATGTTTATTCCTAGAGCATCCTAAAGAAGTAAACTACATTTTTAATCTAGGAAATTCAGTAATATAAATCTTGAAAACACAAACATCTCAAACACAGAGGAATCAAACATCTACAAGGGAAATCTGAAAAAAAACAAAAAAACACTAAGTGAGAATATAGAGTTATTAATCTGACATTTATAAACTACTGTGCATAAAGCCAGATTTATTTATTTTTCCAATTGCCCATTTATGCTGTTATATACATAATGTATTTCAATTATATTGCAATTATGTGCAAAAGTGCACACCCGTGGACCTATAAATTAAAAAAAAAACCTAACAGTAAAAATGCTTACTCTACTGAATGAAATCACCAGCCACAAAGAGTTGAAGGACACAGTCTTTCAAATGCATTTAAAAAAAAAACACACAACAATTTCTGTCAGCATCTGTCATGGTACTGAAGAGTTGTGTAAAAAGGAAGGAAGCAGATTAAAAGAGTGTGATTTGATAACTCCCTAATCCACTAGGTCAGATTCATTTGTCCTATGATAGCTAAGCAGCACCAACGTATAACAGAAGCCTGTTAAAACCTCAGTTTGGTATGGAAGTGGTGATGAACAAGCTTCACTAATTAGGGATGTAAGAGGTTAACCAGTTACCCGGTAAACAGTAGGCTTATTGGCCTGCTTACGAGGTTAGCTGCCTTACAAAGTTAACTGCTCTGCTGGCTAAACCCTGCCCACAGCCATGGCGGTTAACCAGTTAAACAAAAAGCTTAACCTGTCAACTATTTTAGTTCATTTTTACATCCCTACTGTATTTACAGTGGGAGTATGGCTCACCAACCTCTGCATCAGGGCAGAAATACTAAACAAACAGGCATCATAGAATCCCTCCGTCTTGACAGTAAATTGGCCTTTCAGAGACCGTACACTTCCCACTACAGATTATTTTTGGATTGTTTTGCTCACATTCAGCCAGAAAAAGCATATGCAACTATTTTTGCTTTCTGAACTAAGCCTTTAGAAGAACCATATGCATACTTAAAGCCCCAATGATTACTTGAAAAGCTGTAGACAAGTTGAAAAAGAGTAAACAAAAGGGATGAATGTTCCTCAGGGTTTGTATTATGAAGAGACCAATTTACACACCTCACAAAATTGTAGTAGTCTCATTCAAGGGAGCTGGCTTAAAATCTGGTTTCCTCCCCAACACTAACTCGCTGGTGTTGCCTCCCTCTTCCCCTCCCCCCCCCCTTGTGTTGCTGAGTAAGGGTGGCTGCCGCAATGTAGCCTCTGCCTGTGGCCAGCCCAGCCCACCATGAACAGGGGCTGTTGGTTCAGTGCAACCCAGGACCAAGCAGTTCCAGCTCGCATCATTCCGGGACCGCTGCACCTCTGCATTTAAAATGTAGAGCCACCACTACATATAAGTCTGTCTAAATGTCCTAATTCCTTCATGAGGAAAGCAATATACTGCATCCACCATAGATTATTTCTGTAATATCCATCATAAGATGACATGAATGTAAACAGGAATTTAAGGTTCATACCATGTCCATAATGAATATACTATATTTACACACACCCCTTCCCCACACACACACCCATGTTGCCCAGGTCATTCAGGGTAGGGGGATAGAGATTTAGGGGGTACAGGACTCAGGGCAGGGCTTTGGGGATGTGTGGCGCTCAGGACTAGGGTTGCCAGTTGTCCGGTTTTCTACCGGACAGTCCGGTATTTGCACCCTCTGTCCGGTAGAAAAATTCAGAAAATATTGGACATGTGCAATGTCCGGAATTTTCTGAATTATCAGCTGGGCGCTGGACAGAAGCCTGGCAGAGGCAGGGGAGCAACTGGGAGGCGGGTTGGGATTGGTGCTGGGAGCCCTGTGGTCACTTGCAAAAGCTCAGTGGGGCGGTGGCTGGGACTCCCAGCCA